AATCTGTAATTTTGTTGCCAAAGTGAAGATTTCAGAATCATGTAAAACTATTTTTTGTCTTTGAAGCAATGGGGAAAATGCGTAATCTTTTAAAGCAAATTTTTTTAAAACTGTTTGGTGCTAATTCATGCAGTTAGTATGCCCATTTTTTGGATGTGATGTGTAGGACTCGAACTATAAAGCAAACATAAGTAAGTTTTGCTTCAGCAACACAAAACATGAAAATGAATGGATTTCGGGCTCATTCATAGGGAGCTTTTTTTTTCTTCTATCAATTGCATTGTCATTGTGAGTAATGAAACTGTCTGGTACAAATGTTCAAAAAAATTTTTTTAAACAAGCCCTACATTTTTATTACAAATTCACTATAACATCTAGGGCATATACATATTGTTTACAATTCATAATTGTGACCCAGTTACATTTTAATGTACCTAAAGCAATTAAAGTTTTAAAGTAGACTAAATTGGCTAAAACCTTTACAGTTCTTCCATTCTCATCAGTTGTTTTTGTTGTTTCTATCTTGTTTTACTTGTATTTCTTGTTATATTTGTCAGTGAGGAAAACAGGGTCCACATATAAGTTGAAAGGTCAAGATAGATATGATTTTAAAATATAATTTGTAATCTGAGGTTGAAAAACAGTATGAATGTGATGCTAGTGATGCCATAAATTCTCAACAAAACATGTAATGTTTATTTAAATATAAATTTTAAGTAGTTGCACTTCACAGTGTAATTATTTCAAAGGAAATATGTTGATCTCCCTATATATATGTCATCGCACAAAAAACTGGTTTTAAGATATGTATATAAAAACAATTATTTTGAATGTTGTTTGGTTTAGTAGAAGACATTTTACCTTTAACATGAAATCATATTGTTTACTTTAGAAGAGTGTAAGATTTTGTTTAAATAATCAAAGTCCGCAGTTACTTTGTGACTGGTGATTGAATCTGTTCTGCTCTGAGACTTATTTCTGCATTCTGGGAACTGGTCAGTGTTTTGGATTATGTCGAGTAGAATTCCTTCAGTAGATGTATCTGCAATTGTAATCTCAATAGATCATAACCCAGATAAAACATGATTAATTCCAAAGACTTTGGTTCAGGTACAAGTACTTTTTAAGGATATATAAACAGGTTTTTGGGGTCCGCAGTGGCCGCGCAGTCTGAGGCGTGGGTCTTGTGCCGCTTGGTCGCGGGGACCGTGGGTTCGAATCCCACTCAAGCCATGGATGTTTTTCTGTGTTGTGCTGTCCTGTGTTCAGGTAGAGGCCTTGTGACGGGCCGATCCCTTGTCCAAGGAGTCCTACCGAATGTCCATAGATCAAGGAAACTAAAAAAAATGTTGGTGACCCGTAAAGGGTACCAGAAAATGTATAAAACATTGTGAAATCGGAAAAAAGAAGAAGATAAACAGGTTTTTTACAATAATAATTCTAGATGTAGTTGAAACATTAATTAAGACAATTGAAAGGAACAAATATCTTATCTCTTTATATGAAATTTCTCATACTTCTGTGTGCTTTAACTGCTGAAATGTCTGATAATTCTAGAATACTCCCTAGAATACTCATTATGAGGAAGGTTATGAAAAAGTATTGTATTATATACATAAGTTTCTTTCTAACTACATACGAACATAGAAATCTATATATTAATCTTATCGACTAGTGTACTGTGTTTATATCTGTATATGGATGTGCAATTTCCTTAATCAATGTCTATATTAATAGTAAATGGTATGCATCAAATGTGCCAGTCAAAGTATTGGAAGAGGTGATTGGTTTGTAATGTGTACATATTGGTTAGGATACGGAGTCATATGTTCCAGTAACGTTTTTAACAGGCGGTTCCTTTATTATGTAGGTGTGATGTTTTTGCCTAGTCGTGCCAGCAATGAGTTCTTTTTGTATTTTTATCTCTTGGCAGGTGCCCCCTCCCCCAAAGCAATGATTGGACTTTGGTAATGTGATTTCTGTTGGAGATGTGTAGATAGACCCTTCCTTCTCTCTGTCACCATTATTCTGTACAGATTTAAGGAAATGTGTCATCGTGAAATGTTTTCGCAAATCAGCAATATGTTAAGAGCAATGAAGCAGCCAGTGCCGTCTCATTATTTTCTCGCCTGCTTTGCGTTATTCATTATTTTGCTGTAGCAATTTTATAATCATTGTAATTGATACCCTTGTTGCTGTCTTTGTTTTGAATTTTTGAATCATTGTTTCCAAATGTAATTTAACATTTTTAAGTGTACTACATTTTCATTCTTAAATTAATATTGGTTTTAAAAGAAAATTATCAACAGGTGTGAATTCTTTGCGGGATTATTCTGAAACAGTGATTTATTGATCAGAGAGGCGAAGGAAAATATAACTAACTTTTTTTATTTTAAAGGTGGCTGATTATGAACAAGTCATTGTCATATGTTGGTGTGTATGGGTGTGTGCACATACGCACGCACAGACTATCCATCCAACGCTAGAACTAATGCAGATATTCAGATACCTCTTCATTTAAATTACTTGCAGTCTGGTTAGTCATTAAGTTTTGTAATTTTAAATTAATCTTTACTGATGTCCTGTCTTCCTGATCTTCTGACTTTTATTTTGTGTAGATCAATATGGGAGAAAAAATATTGCTCATTGAATGTTGCATTTGTTTAATAATATTCTAAACTGTGGAATGATGACAATTTGTTGATGAAGGAAAACGCCTGACATTTTTCTTGGCACTTTAGCATGCGTATTTATGTTTTATATCATCATAATTCCAAACAATATTTTGAGTTAAAATATATCAACATTGCATTGGTGAACAGAATTGTTTGATTCTTCGTTATGTCTTGGACCAGTGGACATTTTGTATTTACTGTAATCTGGGGTAGGAATCGTTAATGTTTCCATAAAGTAGCTGTTGTCTGTGAAAAAAAAATATAAGAGTTCAAATGTGGAAGGGAAGAAATGTTTATGAGATTTGTAAGATATTCTGCGCATGCATTTTTTTTCTTCTTTGTATAGAGAAATCTATCTTCAAGTTCATTTAATTTCTTTTTAATAAGATCAGAGGCAAAAAAGATGTTATCTAAGTTTTTGGATTTCTGATCATTTCTTTACTTGCTCGATTCCTTCACAAATCTTTTACATAACAAAAGTACAAGTTTCTGTTACATTTTGTGTTAAGATATGAACATGAATGTCGAATATATGTTGAACAGTTGTTACATTCTGCACGAACATTTCTTCCTTATTTATGCAGCGTACTTTCATCTAGGCATAAGACGTGGCTGTATTGTATATGCTTCTCAAAGTAATTTAGTAACCACCACAGTAACAAGTTTTGTAATAATATTTGATGTTAATTTCTAGGTGAATATATACATATATATAATCCTCTTCTTTTTTTAAATGTTGTCTTGTAACTGTTATGGAGGAAATATTATGTAATTAATGTTTTAAAACTTTTCGTCTACTGTGGCAAGATCCATGGTTATGTTTAGCTCCTTTAGCTAATGATTATAATACTGAGGACCCTTTTTGGTGGTCCACCACATTTCCTGTACAAAAAATGAATAAATTCCTACAGTTTATGTGAATAAACATTTGTAACTTTTTTTCCTGATGTTACATCATCCATTTTGTTTCTGTCAGGATCTTACAGGATGAAGATTTCTGTCTTCTGGGTTGTTGCGCTGTGTAGTCTGATCGATGTTAACCAACGTTTCAGAGGTCATACTGCCTCCGTCATCAGGGCGATGAATACGTTGGTTAACATCGACCAGACTACACGGCGCAACACCCCAGAAGACGGAAATCTTCATACTCACCGCTGTGAAAACCTCAAATCTTATGTCTTACAGGATGTTTTCTATTATTCTCTGTCCTTCTGTAGGCAGTTCTGTATATTTTTTTCACTTCTTCTATATTCTTTTTTTGGAAATACTTCCTTATTTGTTTCTTCATATATCTCTTGGTCCTCCACTGTGATGAAAGCGGTCAATGCTCAACATTGGCTAGGTGAAGACTAGAGATCTTCAGCTTTGCATGGCTTCAGCCAATAGATTTTAGTAGGGCTTCAATCAGTTCTAGATCTTGCAGTGCAGTCGCAGATATTTGGAAGGCCATGACAATATCAGGGAAGCACGGTAGATCCAGCAGTGGTCTGTGTGTGTGGTGCGTGGGGCAACTGATGTCCTATCCAGATCAGTACCAGTACCAGTGAATGAAAGCAGGATGCAGACTACTGAGACGGTTTTTAAGACGTGTTTAAGGCTGTATGTGATGAAATAGGATTTGGACATATAGCAGGCGCAGTAGTTCTTTGGCTGGTGGAGAAGCTAGCGGAGCTGGTGGACAGGTCAGTGTATTTGTTTTGTTCTCAAACAAACGCTGGGTTTGTGGGTCCGAATCCAACTTGGCACATGAATCAATGTTTTCTTGAAGATTCTGGGATGTTACACTGTCTGATTTGGTAGAAGCTTACTGTTGTTGCTGTGGTGCTTGCTGTTTGTGTGATCAGAGTTATGATGCCTGATGATGGAGGCA